AGAATACTCTCCCTTTTAGATATCACTGAGGGAAATCTTCTGGACTCAGCTTTATTAGTCTCAGAGAACTTAAGAGTTTTATTATGTCTCTCCCCAAATGTACTGAAACTGTGCTAGGGACATTTAGTTGATGTCATTTTTACTATAGGTTGATAGAATTTAACAGGAAACTTTTTCTTTTTTTAAAATTGTTTTTTAAAAAAAAAAAAATCTTTATTGATTTCAGAGAGAGGAAAGGAGGAGGGGGGTGAGAAATAGAGAGAGAAACATTAATGATGAGAGAGTCATTGATTGGCTGCCTTCTTTACAACCCTTACTGGGGGTCGAGCCTGCAACCTGGGCATGCGCCCTGACCGGGAATTGGACCTCGATCTTCTGGATCATAGGTTGATGCTCAGCCCCTGAGCCACACTGGTCGGGATTAAAAGAAGCTTTTTAAATGACTTCCTTGAAATCTTATTAAAAGTGACCATTGTTTTATTTTTTATTTATTATTTTTCTAAAATATATATTTATTGATTTCAGAGAGAGGAAAGGAGAGGGGGAGAGAGAGATAGAAACATCAATGATGAGAGAGTCACTGATCGGCTGCCTCCTGCACGCCCCCCGACTGGGGATCGAGCCCACAACTCGGGCATGTGCCCTGACCGGGAATCGAACCCTAGATCCTAGGTCGACGCTCAGCTGCCGAGCCACGCCTGGCCGGGCTGTGATCACTGTTTTAAAATATATTTGGCACGTGTGTTTTTCATAGGTAGTGCTATTGAGGTTTTAGTTTTCTGTCATTTCTTTTTTTAAATTGTTAGCAAATGGCAAACGTTAAATGCAAAAAATTTTAAGTTGAAAATCTATAGAAATAATTTCATAGTTTTTTGTAGCCATTTCTATGTTCTAAAATTGTGTCAATCAGAATGCTGAGGTCAGCAGAATTTTTATGCTTTGGTGTTTTAGTTTAGTTTGTGCTATAGAGACCATGTTTTGGCTGCATGCAGTTCAGTGAAATGAATGTGGTAAAATAATGACCAAATTTAAAATGTAGTCTGAGTGTTACCTATTTTCTCCACGTACTCCCCCCAACACGCACACATGCTTACATGCTTTTTTCCTTTCCTATTCCTTTTTCCCCCCTTGGGTGGGGAAAAGATGAAGAAACACCCAGGAGATAAAAATGGGTAAAAGTTTAGAAAAGAAAATGAAAATGAACTTAGATATATTTTGCTAGATGAGAACTGCTTTAGAAAAGAGACTGTGGAGTGTCCCTCCCCTCCCAACACACACATACAAAGGTCAATCAGCCAACTATAGAAGTGATGGCATCAGCAAACATCTATTAAACTTAAACATCTTACTGTATTATTTAGAAAAATGGGAATGTACAACTGAAGGACTAGACTACTTGGAAAAACTGGAGCCAGCACACCAATAGGTAGAGAATAAAATGATTTGATTACTGAGTGGACCTAACTGCTAGTTAACACTAAGCAAAAAATAGTGTTGAGTTTGGGTGATGAGTTTTTAAGGTAATAGTGAATTTAGGATGAAACAGAAGAATGAAAATATTCCAAGTCAAGAGACCATCCTGAGGAGAAATAGTGAAGCCAAGAGGGCAGTATTTACATAAAGAAATTCCTAAGATAAACCAGTTCACAGCTGAGGAAGAGCAAGGAGTCTACTACAGTAATCTAGTAATGAGATATTGAAGATTGAGTCTGTAAGGTATTGAATTGGGGGGAACTTTGAAACAACAGCCAGGGTAACCTGATGATTAGATATGTATTGGCTACACCTTAATTGTCATGGGCACTTTTAATAGTCCTTAAAGAGTAAACATAAAGTGGCCCAGACTAGTGTGTTAGAACATGTGATTTTGCTTACAGTTAATAGTGTTTTAAAAAATTTCCTGTGTGTAAAAATAAAAATACATAGATAACTTGTTAAAGTAAACCTATGTTTCTTTGCAGTTGTGTGATTATATTGTGCACTAAGTGAATAATATGTACTAAAGGGACCTGTGGAGTAAAACACATATTCAAATAGTAGGTTTAGGGAAAAGGCTGGAAATAAAAACTGAGACAGAATAAGAAATATTTCTCCCAAGGGGTTGTTATTGCTGCACTATGTTCTCCTTTCCTTCCTCACACACCCTTCCTTAGACTGTTTTTCTTTTTGAACTTTTCTTTTTTCTTTCTTTTTTTGCTGTCTTCCGCTTTTGTTCTTTCTCTTTGATATCTTTGACTAAGGCCTGCCTGGGTCTTTTATTGGCACATGTGGACATTGCTTAGTTCTGACCCAATTCCATAAGAGAGTTTTCTGTCCCATCTTATACAGTAAGGTTAATTAGGACTTTATGAAACATTAGCCTTAATCTTTATTATTACAGAATACAGTATGCTTAGAGAAAACTCCATAAACATAAGTACACATCTTAACATTTTATTTATAAAATAAACATTCATAACCATCACTTGGGTCAAGAAATAAAAAGTTCCTATCACCCAGAAGCTTCCAGAAGTCCCTACATACCTTTTTCTAGTTGTATCATGTTTTAATTGGCATCATTTATTGATGCAGTTGTTCCCTTTCTAACCTTTCTTATGCCTCCCTTCCCAAGCATGTGTTTGGTGTGTGTGTGTGTGTATTATATCCTCCCGTACCCCTGTCCGTACCCCCTTACTGCCACACATAATTGCCTGTTAGGAGGTGGTAGCACTAGGCATGACCAGGAGAGTATAGAGGCTGAAAGCTGCACCTCCTCATATTAGAAAGGTTTGAGAAAAGTATGAATAGAACATCTTAGCAGTATGTTTTTGAAGTCTAGTTGACAGAAATAGAAAGCTGCATTTGAGTTCTCTGGTAGTAGTAAATGGTAATTTATACCAATTCCTGTCAGGCCTTTGACTCCCCACTCCTGCCTTTACACATCTGATAATAAAACAAATACACATCCCACCCATTTAAGAAGCCACCTAATGTATAGATGCTGAGCTCCTCTTCAGGAAGAAAGTATTTAACCAGGCGTAATGCTGTAGATGCCAGACCCATTGTCCCCAACCCTCACAAGAAACATTACCTTTACATTACCTTTTAGAACTTATAATTTTATAATAAACATGCACATAACCACAAACAGATTTTTTTGGGAAATAGATAATGCATGAACAAAAATAAAGACATAGGATGATTGTTTAGCTCTATTTTGTGGAATGATATTTTGAAAACTGTCTTTTTGTTGTTGTTAATCCTCATCTGAGGACATACTTACTGATTTTAGAGAGAGGGGGAGGGAGAGAGAGAGCTAGAGAGGAAACATCGATGTGAGAGAAAAACTAAGTTGGCCCCCTTCCTGATCGTGCCCCAACTGGGGATTGAACCTGCAACCTTTTGGTGTATGGGTTCAGTCCAACCAAGTGAGCTGCACCGGCCAGGGCAATATTTTGAACTTTTTGTATAAAAGATTGGCTTTTGTTTTGAAATTGTCTAAGATTCATTTTTCTTTTTTAAATCCTCACCCAAGGATATTTTTTCCATTGCTTTTCAGAGAGAGTGGAAGGGGGAGAGAGAGAGATAGAAACATCGATATGAGAGAGACACATTGATTGGTATCCTCCCTCTTGCATGCCGACTAGGCTGGGGATTGAGCCTGCAACTGAGGTACGTGCCCTTGGCTGGAATGGAACCGGGGACCATTCAGTCCTTGGACTGACGCTGTAACGGCTGATCCAAACCGGCCAGGGCTCGTGTAAAATTTTAAATAGCCACCCTTAAGATATTAGAGGCAGAGACTAGTTGATAAAAAAATTTTCAAAAAATATACGAGTTTGTACTTGGGATAAGCCTTAAATCATGTAGAAAGATTTAAAATGATGTCTAACATACTATTTTATCTGATATTACACTTTTCAAAATTCACAGTAGATATTTTTTCTTTGCCAAATTTTAATAGTTTGCTTTTGAATAATATATTCACATGATGAAATTAAGTGATATAAAAATGTATTCAGTGAAAAGTGTCCCTTTCTCACCCTCATATTTGTTCTACTGGTAATCAAGATCTTTTATAAAAGATAAAATAGGAATTTGGGCCAAACATAGACTGATAGACCAATGGAGGGTGACATATAACAGAGAATCCAGAAACAGACCCAAATGGTGAGTATGAACATTGATTTAGGACAAAGTGGTATTGCAGAACTGTGGTAAAGATGGTTTTTCCCTAATAGCAGGGGCTATTGGATATATGTGTGGACAAAAAAAAAAGAAAACTGACCCCTACCTCACACCATATAAAAAGTAAGGTGCAGATGGCTTGTAACCCTAAATATGAAAGGTAAAAATACAAAGTTTTGTCAGTTTAATCCTCACCTGAGGATAGTTTTTGCATTGCTTTTCAGAGAGAGTAGAAGGGGGAGAGAGAGAGAAACATCAATGTGAGAGAGACACATCGGTTGGTTGCTTCCTGCACATGCTCTGATCGGCCCCTGAAACCCAGGTATGTGCTCTTGACCGGAATTGAACTCGAGACTCTTCAGTCTATGTGTCAATGCTCTAACCACTGCGCAAACCGGCTAGGGCAAAAGTATAGGTTTAAGAAGACTTATTTTTATGGAGTAAACTAGAAAACAGGATTAATCTTTCCTCTGCAAACAAAACTATCCTACTCCCTCACCCTTCTGTCACCTTGGAAATTGTAGAAACAATTAAATCAGTTCTTTCACTGAGAATTTGAAGCTATAAAATAATTATTTCAATAATTGAGAATAAATTTAACTGATCTTCCTTTTCATTTTTTTATATTAAATTAGATTTTATACATTCAATTATATGAAAGACCCAAATGCCCCTTTCTAGTCTTTTTTTAAAAACTGTTCATTCACATCATTTTTATAAAGCTGCATTTTCTTTTAAAAATATTGTGTAAACCATAAGTTTTACTGTGCTACCAAGCAAAAATTCATGCAAATGTTAAAAAGTTAAGATATCTTATGTCTATATTCTTTCAGGGCAATTAAAGCATTTCAGGAGGTGCTTTATGTTGATCCCAGCTTTTGTCGAGCCAAGGAAATTCATTTACGACTTGGGCTTATGTTCAAAGTGAACACAGACTATGAGTCTAGTTTAAAGGTAGGTTGTTGGGTTTCCCCCCCCCAGATAATAATGTTTCATTTGGCGTGGGTGTGGGGGGGTGTGGGGTGGTGTTCAATATTAGAGCATTGAGAAATGTTGGAATTTATATCAACACCTCAAGAAAATTTTTAAAATTTAAGTGAAAGAACTGTTTAGCAGCTGTGAACTGGAAGATATGTAAGGTTGGTTTTCAGGGCATGAAGTAGTTATTATGCTAAGACAGGTAATTAATTGCACACCCGTAAACTTGTTAAAGTTTTGAGGTTTGCCATCAGGAAAGGGTGAAAGTTTCAGTTTCAGTTTGGACATTTGAAACACTTCATTATAAGCCATTGGCCACTATAGAGGTCAGAAGCAGCTGCCTAATGATGCTGTGACCAAATCATTGACCATTTATTTGTATTAGTCTCGCTAGAAATCTTTCTTCCTTTACCAGTAGGGCACACCTCATATCTAAAATATCTTTTAAAGTGTTCTCTGAAAGTCATTTGTACTGCTGGTGGATGAGTATAAACATTATTGGGAAAAGATAATACATTTGATATTTTTCAAAGTTTTCATTGAGCTACTTGTGCTATCTATGCCATCACTTTAGGTCTCACTGGGATTTTCATGAATATAGTGCTTCATTTCATGACAGAAGCATTGCTTTTTGAAAGGATTCAAAGTTCTAGGGAAAAGCTTAAGTTTTTGTGAATTTATGACCATCATGGTCGCCATGTTCTAAATAGCTCTGATATATACTGTCTTTATTCTGAAGGGAGGGAGATAAAGATTAACTGTACAGTAGGTTGTAATTTGAATTCACAAATAAGGAACTACTGAAGGTTTTTTAAAAACTGTATTTAAGAGTGCCTAATTGTTCTAGAATTTTAAAGTAGACAGTTATGCAAATACAGTTTCTGTGTTTCATGAGTTTATAAAGAACAGGGCTGATGGTAAGGAAAAGAAAGAGACAACCAATAACACTAAAACAAGTAGATTGTGAACTATTTAGATCACATAGTTGTCAAAGTTAAGTGCAGTTTGAGGTATAGGCCTGAGGGTAAATGTAAGTAGTGTGACGAATAAGGGATGCCTGGAAGTTACCCATTTTCCTCAAGCTTAGAGCAACATTTTTCAGACTATGGGATGTGAGTGGATTAGAAATGGAAAATAAAATAAGTTCAAATGTACCACCTTGCATATTTTACCCTCTTCTTGGACATTCACAGTGTATATTAGATAACAACGACTATTTAAGTGTTTCATAATACAAAATAAAATTATTTGAGTATTTTACAATGCTGCCACAACATACCTCTTATGTGCTGAAGGAGTGTTTTGGGTAGTAGTTTGGTAAATGTTGCTTAGGAAATATATTTGAGTGGAAAAAAGTAATCAGATATGTCCGAAATTGTGGAATTGTGAATATCAGTACAGTGGTATTTTTAATAATTCTGTGGATGCAAAGATCTGTTTCCATGAAGGTGGCATTATTTAAAATCTCCTTTAATTAGGGGAAACAGGGTTGGACAGTGTTCCATGGCTAATTGAAAGTGTTCCTACTTATTCGTATTCAACAGAAACCTTCCTATATCCAACTTTTATTTGTTCAGATATAGTTAAAAACTAACCAAACCTTCAAGTCATAGAGATTTTAGCAAAATTACCTTAAGTGCAATCTTCTTGTTTTGGGCTCCCCTCCTCCTCCACTTTATTTAAAATACTTGATATCATTCTTATGTTTATTTCATTTGTATGAACAGAGAAAAGAATTTTAGGAGTCCTTTCCCCCATAATTCGGTTTCATTTGATTTTTATCTCATCTTGACATTGGCTTGTTAAGGCTTCCCTCTCCAGTATTCCTTATCTATTTTCAGGAAAATTTTAGGCATTAACATTTTTAGTTGAGAAGGTGTCATTTCCATATATTTCTGTAAGTGTTTAGCATTTAGTGTAAACGAAGGTAGGTGTCAGAAGGAATGACATGCCCCTCTCCTCTTAGGTGGCTTTCAATTTTCCTAAAGACTAGCTGCTACTTTAGCTTCATATGAATAGATGTGGAACCTCTGATGACTTTCCCACTATATGAAACTGTTTTCTAGCACAAAGTATTGGTATTAGATGCTGTAGGCTGCAACTTCAGAAACTCTAACTCCTAAAAGAATTTTAGGAGTCCTTTCCCCCATAATTCGGTTTCATTTGATTTTTTTTTTTTTTTAAATATATCTTTATTGATTTCAGAGAGAGGAAAGGAGAGGGAGAGAGAGAGGTAGAAACATCAATGATGAGAGAGTCACTGATGGAGCCCACAACCTGGGCATGTGCCCTGACCGGTAATCGAACCCCGATCGCCTGGATCCTAGGTCGATGCTCAACCGCTGAGCCACGCCTGGCCGGGCTGGCTTATTCTTAAGGCTGTATGCCAGGTACAATGAAAGGGAGATTATTTCTTTTTCATGTTTCCTATAGAAAAGTATTGTAGAGTAGTGGCATCGGTGCTTAGTATAGTACTGGCATATAACAACTGCTCAATAAATACAGGAGTGGGTAAAAGTAGGTTTATAGTTGTGAGTATGTGAAACAATTCTTGTATTATTTATTTTTATTAATTAATTAATGTATTATTTGCCTTCTTGAGCACTTACAAAATTGTATAAGATTGTACTAGGCCATTGTGACGTTCTTTTAAGTTAATAAAGCTACTTAATGATCATAACCTGCATGTCTTTTTCTGTACAAACAACTGTAAACCTACTTTTGCCCTACTACCTGTATGTGGTAATCATTTTATAGAGGGGAAAGATCCTAACTTCTTTTGATCTCTTCAAGAATACTTTGTATCTCATTGGCCAGAAATAAGCCACACAGCCATTCTTATTTGATTCCTTATTAAAGATGTGGTTACTCTTAGACCAGTTATACCCAGTGTTTCAGCAGGGCTCTCAATTCCTTAAATACACTGTTCCTGTCTAATGGAGGAGTAAAGGGTGGGTAAAAAGTATTTTGGTGTGGCAGCAGTGTGAACAACCTGTGTATTACAGGTTAGGTCTTCTCTACATCATTTCCTTTTCTTGTGTCCAAAGAGGGATATTGCATATACAATGTTTTAGATAGTAAAATATTTAAATAAAGTTCAGTTTATTTTCATAATAGATTCCTTCTTTTCACTCACACATGAAATACATTCCAGGGCCTCCTGTTTTATTTCTATCTCTGGTAATAACTTTTCTCCCAAAAAGTATCTCTGAAACAGATTCATTCTGTTTGGGTACTGTGTAAACAGCTTTCAGAGAGCAAACAAACGTAGTTTTAAAATCTGACCCTGCCACGTCACTAATTGTGTGACCTTGGGCAAGATGCTTAACTCTTCTGATCCTCTTTGTGTCTGTAGAACTGGAATAACTGTAATCACCCTGCAAATTCCTCTCATTTCTAACCAGTATAGATATTGTTTGTGAAATCCATTTTCTTGTCCTAGAATTTCGTACTTGTATTTTTGTCACTTATCCCATCCTCAGAAATGTGAAGTTAATGCCCAGCTTACTTTTTAATTGTATGGTATTATTTTTCCATTATGTTGACCAGTAAAGATTTCACATGTTTAGCCAGGCTGGGCGTGGCTCAGCGGTTGAGCGTCGACCTAGGATCCAGGCGATCAGGGTTCGATTCCCGGTCAGGGCACATGCCCAGGTCGTGGGCTCGATCAATGACTCGCTCATCATTGATGTTTTTCTCTCTCTCTCTCCCTCTCCTTTCCTCTCTCTGAAATCAATAAAGATATATTTTTAAAAAAAAGAAAAAAAAGATTTCACATGTTTAGTGAGTGGTGAAGTTTACCAATTACTAGTTTAATATTATCTGAATCAGAGTCCATTTCAGGGTAACATTTCTACATGGTATTTTGTTGTTTTTCTTCTCTGCTTCAGATAATATCCCCCCAAGTGGGTTTGGTTGCCTGTTTAATACCATATAATTAATTCAGAATTTTATCTCATTACTTTTTAATGATATTAATGATAATTGCTTACATTTGTTATGTATTTGAGGCAGTGTACTATTATTACTTCAATAAAAGTACACTAATTTTGACAAATAATTTTATATAATGCCTCTAATTTTTACCTCCTTGCAGACTGTTAAAGTTATTTCCTTCATGTGAAGCTAATAAATGCAAAATAACATGTACTAACATCCATATTATTCAATCAGTTAATTCCAGTGCATCTATTTACTTTAATGAAGATCGTATAGAAATTCTCCTTAATATTTACATATTTAAGTTTCCCTGAAATATATCAACATTAGAACTTTTTTGGATTTTCAAAGGTAAAAAAGGGTGGCTTTTTTAAGGGAACTTGTGAAAAGTTGACTGGGATACTAATATAAGTTCCCTTATAATTTGGTATTTGAAGCTGATGTGCTTATTGAAGGGGTGACTATAAAAGGATTAGGAAGATAAGTATTACAGAGACAGTTCAAAGGAAATTGGTTGAATTCAAATGAGACTTGTGTGTTAGCCTGGCATTTTACCTTGTACTTGGTGTTTATTGAATGAATAGATAATGGAAGAGGCTATAAAATGCCTCTTATAGGATAGGCTGGAAATACTGAGGGGGTGGGGGGAAGAGAGGCTGGTTTTATTTATCATCTCTTAAGTTTTTTGTTTGTTTGTTTAAATATATCTTTATTGATTTCAGAGAGAGGAAAGGAGAGGGGGAGAGAGAGAGAGATAGAAATGTCAATGATGAGAGAATCATTGATCTGCTGCCTCCTGCACGCCCCCAACTGGGAATTGAGCCCACAACCCGGGCATATGCCCTGACCGGGAATCGAACCCCGATTGCCCCATCCTAGGTCACCTCTCAACTGCTGAGCCACGCCCATCCAGGCATCTTAATGGGTTCTATACAAACTGATAGCACAGTTCATTTCATCTTGTCTCCCTGTGCTGTTAATATATGACATCAAACTTCTGAGTAAAAAAAGCATTTCCACGTTATTTTTACCTTACT